GCCCGTGCATTGTTCAGCATGAACAAACAAACAAACAAGTCATTCACTGCCAGGTCAGCAAGCTACACACATGGAGCTCCGTGCTACACACAACCCCCCAAAATAATCTAAGAAACAACCAAAACTGTTCTGTTCTGTTGCAAAAGCGACATGCAATTTTAGCAAATTGTGGTAAAATGACGTAATACTTGTCGCGTGTCAAAACAAATGCGCAGTTATCACCTCCATAAAAACCAAAAAACTGTCAAGTGTAATTAGGAAGTGCCCCAGATTTTTACGTTCCGAATTACTGTATACAAATCCCTAAGCCTTGGCCATTTTGAATTTATAATAGTCATTAGCGACATCTTGAATTAGCGAATCAGTTCTCTCGCTAAATTTGCTAAAAAGACATGTTTTACAGTATGTTCACATACATTATAGATTTAAAAACATTCGCATTATAGTGTTCATAGAAGAGAAATTAGCAAAATATATCAACGAAAGCTTAAAAAACTCCCGTGTGCTGAAGGTATTGCAAGCATGAAGTACAAATAAGGAATACTATATTTACGATATTAGAAATACATCTTCAATAGACATAAAGCAAATATTGTATTCATTGGATGCAAAATCATTGAAATACATCATATTTTGACCATAGTTGTCATGTCTTTGTCATTTATATTCACAGTAAACAGGTACAACAATTATAAACAGCACAGACCGTCACAAAACTCCATAGCGTGAAAGAAAACGGCCAAAAAACAAAGTTTTTCACAGATATAAATGTCGGTTCATGATTTTTCTCGAAAACAACTTTCAAAGCATTTCATTTACAATTAGCCCATATAAATTTTGCTGCTAAAACGGAAGTTAACGTTGATTGAAGTTGGAAATCATAAAAGTGCCGATTTCTCGGTGTTCGGTTTTTGGCAATTACCGTTGACCTAATTTTAAATGGCGTTTCAGTGAATAGCGCTACGATGTCGCCGTTTAGCTTTTCTTACTCTTGGATATGTTGGCTTCATATCCGTATTTACATATTTGCAAAATTCTATTGCGTTTTTTCACAAACCTCGCGCAAACCACCGGTACACTCTAACTTTAACACCAAAAGACGTGCTTGAAATTTGTGATTTTCGGAAAGAAAAAAGAAACTTAATACAAATCAAAGAAAGCTTAGAAAGAACTCCCATGTGCTGAGAGTATTGGAGACACATTAAATATAATTTGAAATTACTTAGCTGAAAACTAATTATGCAAATCAGAAAATTAACATGAACAGATTTGATTGTAAAACTAATGAGGTCTGCGCAATGTAACAAAAACTCTATGTACCAAGTTTAATTGAAATGTGATTAGAACCAAAAAATTATGAATTATTATGCTAATTGGGGA